AACTTCCAAAAAAGGGGCAGCAGGGTGGATTTGGCCCTCAGGTTGTAGTTTATAGATAGATCTCTGACCCAGAAGAAAAGAAGTGCTCTCTGAAAATTCTGAAAACTCCACTTCTGGGAAGAGCATGCAAGAGACCAGCATTAAGTGTCTGCTCTGGTCTCTGCCAGCATCATTTTTAGGGCACCTTGGCAAAAGCCTAGAACATGTTGTGATTTCTGTGCCAAATCAGGACAAGGCTTCTACAGCTTATCAAGGAAAGTAAACGATCCCATGGACCTAAGGGGCCTCTGTTCCAGGGATCCTCAGGCTACCACTGTTGTACTTCCAATTCTGTTTAACCAGATGCAGCAAAAGGTGGTTACAAGTGAACTCTTCAGGGGAAAGAAAGAAGGTTATGCAGAAGTCTTAAACCAGCCCTTTGCCAACAGTCGGATTGGTGAGTACATTTTTCCATCTGTGCTCTTGCTTCTCCTGTTTTAAAGAGTCAAAAGAAGATGCCTGACTTCGTAGCATTTCCTGACCATAGGTGAAGTCTCTGTCAGAGGGACATAAACCCAGCAGATACCAGTGGCTTTTGCACCAAGATGGTATTTAGTGCTGATTCACTGTGTTCTGGTTCCCTCCCCAGACGAAGGAGACATTAATCCCAAAGTGCTTCAACTCATTAGCAATGAGAAAATCCAGGTAAGGAAATGGGTGTCCTTGGGCCAAACCGGATTCCCTTAACAGGGTCTGTTTTCTGTATGAAGAGCGTCTGGAAGTGCTGTTGACATGCAGGGGGGTGGGAGGGTGGCCTGGGCTCTCGACTGTAATGTTCTGGGTATTAACGAAGACTGTGGGGCCCGTGTGACCACTAGGTACCTGTTGCTGTTATGGTCCTTATCAGTCACCCTAGGAACTAGGTTTGGTTCTCTCTTTTTCTTTTGATTTTATTTATTTATTTGAGAGAGAGCACACATAGGGTAGGGGAAGGGACAGAGGGAGAGGGAAAAGCAGACTCCTTGCTAAGCAGGGAGCCCGATGCGGGGCTCAATCTCTGGACCCTTGGGATCATGACCTGAGCTGAAGGCAGACACCCAACCTACAGAGCCACCCGGGTACCCCATGGGTTTGGTTTTCAATGAAATTGAGCAAAACACAGTCATGAACTTAATCGCTGAATATCCCCTATTCGAAGAAGTGTGGCAGGGTGCCAACGGCTTCGTAACTTAGCTGTACACAATCTGGGCAGGTTCCTCTTGCTACCTCCACCCTTCTGTGAGTGGGGAGGACAGGGGTATTGAGAGGCCCAAGGGGTCATGGGTGGGAAGCGCTGTGTGGCAGGACGTTTGAGCCTCTCTGAGTGCTTAAAGGAACTAGTCTTACCAGAGTCTGGTGTAATAAGGAGTTCTGTACTCCGCCCCCTCCTCCCACGGAGTCACTGTGTTCTCCTTGCAGTACGGCATCCCAGTCATTAAATATGACAGGAAAGGGTTCAAGGCCCGGCAGCGCCAACTCCTCCTTACTCAGAATGCAGCGTATGTGGTGGAGCTTGCCAAAATCAAGCAGAAAATGGAATACTCAACACTCAAAGGTAAGACATGGGCCATCTTCAGACCATTCACTGGGTTGACTTAGGTCCTGGGCAAACATCGGTAAGGAAGACACCCTCCACTGGAAGACAGAAGCGTAGGGTGCCTGTAAAGCCTGGGGCTGCCCGGGCCTGGCCTGTGCCTCTTTTTTTCTGGAGTAAATGTCAGAGGCCACCCCTTCATCCAGGTATCCTGGCCGGACAACAGCTTCTCCGATGACCTGTTTTATTCTGAGCACCGCCCTCCCAGCCTCAGGGCCTGCTGATTGCTGGGGTGTGCCCTTCATCCTCGGGGGCCCAGTGAGGAGGGACAAAGTGTGGGGTGGGGGTGCTCCTAGATACACCACCTCTTTTTTTCTGTATGAATGCCAAATTGTCCGGTTCCTGGTCTCTGACTCTGGATGTGTCTTTACTCCTCAGGTGTCTCTACTAGCAGCCTCAGCGATGGAATCTTAGTCATTCATGTTTCGCCGGAGGACCACAAACAAAAGGTAAGTGATGGCCCCCAGTGTCTGCCAGAGGAGGGAAACCCCGCCACGCTACTGAGCTGCCTGCCTTGCAGCCTCAGTATGGAGAGTGCTTTCCTCTGGAGCCACTGCTACTAGAACTGCTGTGTCCTCTCCTCGTCAGGGGGATGCCATCCTCCAGTGTCAACACATCTTCGAAGCAGTCACGAAGCTCGTCATGCTGGTGAAGAGGGGGAACATTGTAGATGTTGTCCAGGGAAGGTAGGGGTTTTTTCCACCATCACTTGTTCACCAAGGCAGCCAGAGTATTAGGGCCCGGTTCTCAAAGGGAGGGCCTTTCCATTCCTGGGGGTAGTCATCACCAGGTGAAAGGTGGACCTCTGGGCCAGCGCAGGAGCCAGCCACACCTGTCCTGTGGAGGCCTGTTGTCTGGGATGTTTGGCTGAGCACAGTGGCTGCAGCTTTGTAGGCTGCTTACAACTGATGAGAGGACATAGAAATACATGGCACAAGGTGGCTAAGCAGCCAGTCTGGTGTCAGCTGGCTGGTCAGGGACGGTAGGGGGTAGTTTGAGGTCACACTGGATTCTTGTTCTCAGGCTAAAATCAGGTGCTGTGCCCCCTAGCGCCTCCATGCAAGCAGGCTGCCCCCCCCTGCTGCTCCTAATGGGTCTCAAGCCAGTGCAGCCTGAGGAGCAAATTCATACGGGCAAGAGGGAGGGAGAGTGGGGAGTGTTCTGTGGGATCTCTGAGGGGAGACCTGGCCACCCCGTGAGAGTTTCAGCAGGATGCTATGTAGGTGGTTCTTCAGACAGCAGGCTGGCCCCTTGAAGAACTGAACGTGTTAAATTGATTTGGAAATAACCCCAGAAACACGTGGTAAGTTTCCTACTTGTGGCAAGGGTCGTCGTTTGATTACTCAAATACACAATACAACGGTAATAAAATGGGAATTTGCTCTCTAAACTAGTAAAGCTTCGTAAGTGAATTTCTTTTGCAGACAGAAGGTGAAAATTAAGAATGTCAGTAATTGATTACTCTGTGTGTTTTCCAGTTTACAGTTTTATATCAGTCCTGGAAAAGAAGGCACAATAGTTTTCGACACAGGACCAGAAGAACAAATCTATAAAAATAAAAACGGACAGTTAACCGTGGTGAGTGGCTGTGGCAGGAAGTGAGTTTTACATGAGAATATAAAGATTTGACCAATTTCAGCTTCCTATATATAGACTGTTCATTTTCCCCTTTATTCCTGATTCTACATCAAAAGGACAGGAAGGTATTGATGCCAGAGGCATAGATTCACACACTGAATGAAAGGGCTTGAAGAAAGCAAATGGGTTTACCTCCTATTTCTGGTTAGTGAACAGGAAGGTGATGTTAAATCCTCAGTTTTAAATGTCGAAGCCAACTTTCCACTGGATGGCAGAGGCCTTATGCCTTATCCTGTCTCTGACATTGGAAACTCCTGGAGATCTTCGGAAAATGCCCGTGCCTGAGTCTCAGCCCTGGGCGCTGTGATGTAACAGGCAGGGGTGCAGCCTGGGCTTTGGAATGGGCGCGAGCTCGGGGCTAAAGAGCAGAGCTGACTGCTGTCTGGCGGAGTCCAGGCTGGGTGCCCGGTGCTCTGTCCTCCCTGCTGGTCCCACCAGTGCTAGGTCGGGCATCCCAACAGTCCTCACTGGCAAGCAGCTCACAGGGCTTAATTTGATCCCATTTTGCTGGGAAATGACAGATTAAAACAGTGGGCTGAATCTTACAGCTGTATTTTGTAGGTGCACCCAGTATTATTCGATACAAATGAATGAGCAAACGGTTTGTCAATAAAGGTTTGTCAATAAAGTATCTCGTACATACATATTTACATTTGCATCCCCTTAACTAGGAAACTTTTTCTGAGTGTAAGTAGTACCCAACCCAAAAGGCTTTTCTAACATAATTGCCTCTAAACTCCTGGGGGTCAGTTAAAATCTTTTAAGTATCATTTTGAATGTAACACGTCATTTTTTTCAGCTTACAGGCTCTTAGGGGTATAACCTTTAAGAAGGAATTTGTCTTGGGAGTCACACAGCTCGTGGGCTGGACTGGCTCAGGCTGAAAATGCTAAGTGGCTGGTGGGTGGGGCTGGCTTCTAGAAGCTCGTCCACACGGCTGCTGGCTCATAAGGGGTCTCTAACCTAAGTGTGGGCACTCCCCCAAGGTGTCGGTCGGCATGAAGTCCTCCTGACCTCTCCCATGGCCGTCTCTGCTCCAGCTGAGGAAAGCCCCCAGGAAGCGAGAGGCTGTCCAGGTAGCTACACCTTCAAGGGAAGTTCCCAGCAGCTCTAGGAAAAGGAGCACACCTGAAGAAACTGAGTGGCATATGCCACTTCCTGGCTCTTGGCTGCCCTGGAGCACTATATGAGAAGGTCCTGTTCAGGCGCCCAACCTCACGTCACCTGCGGGGATGGGTCTGTGTCCCGACCAGGTCTTTCACTCAATGGGACTTGAATAAGTCATTATAGGCTGGGCAACAGATCCTCTACCTTTGTCAAGCTGGCACCGAAGAACGATTAAGGAGTATATATACAGTCTGAGAGGGAGCCCATACAATTTGATAAAGCTGCAAATTTTGAATTTTGTTTTAATTAAATGGAACTGAGACACTTTGGGTTCTAGAATGGGGAGCTGTAGTGGAAATGTTAAGGTCTTGGGTGTGTTTCCATCTCCCCAGTCCCTGCCTCCCTCCCTCATATTAAGGCGGTAGCAACTCCAGCTGATTCACTCGGCTTTCCAACTAAGATTTCCTTGCAGTGATTAAATCCAAACACTACAGAATAATGACCCCCACCTTCCCCAGCAACATCAAGGCAATGAAGCAGAACAAATGGAGGACAGAGGCCATCCTCTTTGCCATGAACCTCCATCGCACTGGCTGGATTGTGCTAGGTTTCTGAAAAGACCCAGAAAACATTTAAACAGAAGCATTATATGTAACTTTTATTTTACACGTCCACAAATGCTTGTACAACATACAGTGACTACTTCTAACGTTTATAGCATTTTTTTCCATAGCACAAAAAGAAAGGTTAGTGACACACAGGTGTGCTACAGTGATGCTGGGTGGAGCCCTCAGGAGCCCACTTTGCAGAGGGCTGAGTGTTGTTGACATTTGGGTCCTGAGCACCTGCTGGGAGGTGCAGGATCCCACCGAAGCAAAGGGTGGGGTCCCTGCATCTCAGCCAGGCAGCTCATCTGCAACCTATCATAGGGGGGAGGGGACGACGATAGAAGAGGCTACTCCAGGATTGTCTTGGGCACAGGCCCCCAGTCACCACAAACAAGGACCTCTTTGAAAAAACAGCTTGACAAGGGACCAAAAGCTGTTCTCCAACTGTAAGCTCTTACAATGTAATAAAACTTAACTCTTTACCAAATCTTAGGCCAGTGTTTTACTTACATGGCTCTTAAGTACAAATATTGACCTTTGTTTGCCCTTCATGCTATCATAAAATTCAGTTCCTTGTAGAATACATTTGCTAACAGAGCTTGGACCAGCCAACACTGCTGTCAGCTCAAGGCTATGCAGCTAACGGTGTATCATTCACCACGGAATGTTTCAGGAATCTGTTCAGATCCCAGGAAAGCAGAGACTCAAAACTACAAGTGCAAAGTTAAGGAAAAGTGTAAAGACTGCCAGAGACATTAGCTCATATGGTGTGGAAGCCCAAACGAATCCGATTGTTCCACAAACTTACTCTTCACAGAAATATGTTAAAAAACAATTCATATGATGGCTTTTCCATTCCTACAGAAAACATCAGAACTGACATTCACTTTAACTCTCTAAAAAAGTTCAACCCAAACGCCAGGGTTGGTGTTTAAAACTGAAACAGTATATAAAACATTTACGAAACAGTACTTAAGCCCCCCCCCTTTCCTTAGCACTTAATAAAACTCGAATGGCCTAATACGAAAGTTTCCCACACAACAGTTTAAAAGGCATCGACCCCGAAACATGATTTTTTTTTTAAGTTCAGTCAAGATTGTTTTAAAGTTTTATTCTAGGCTTTGCTGCTGGATACAAAATAAAGGCATGCAACTGTCCCAAGAAGGGCAGTGTGTACAAAGCCTAAGCTGTAAAAACCATTTCAAAATATAAACTCGTTTTTTGGAATACACTGTGTCAAAGGCTGCCCATATTAATACCTTTGGTATAAAACAGTAATGTTTCCCTTGAAAAGCAGACAAATCCCATCCATTACCTTACACACGTTCACATCTCCTTGTAACTACTCTACGTAGTCTAGTTGCAACCAGCCACGTCAGTCACCACTCACTTCTGTCCCTTCACAGGCGCAGAGGAGACTGGGAGGTAGGTAACCGAGAACGTCCGTCCTACACGAGCACCATGTGGACAGCCGGGCTCCAGTGCAGGCCCCCTGCGCCCCACAAGCACACATCCCCATCCATAGTCGCACACGTCCCTTAAACATGAACACGAACACTTTATTGGACCCCAAAGGGTCTGCACATCCTCTAACTCTGCTCGCTGTGGCTACTCCATACTGTGTAAAAATCAGAGGCAAAGACAAAAAGGGGATCTCCGGGTGATGGCTGCATCTACAGCAGGGGAGCTACCCTGAGACTGCTGGTGTGAATGGGTTTCCTGCCTGGATGCCAGGCTTGGTGGACAGAGGCCGGGCCACCTCCACTTTCTAAGCAAAAGGCAGGGCTTCTCCTGGAGATAGGAAGCCCAGCCTAACAGGGAAGAAGGCTGAGGAAGAAAGAATAGAGCCCAAGAAGTGACGGTATGCGAGCTCCACTTGTTAAACAGGCCACAAGGCCTTCTAGAAGGGGAGTTGGCCAACAAGAACAGATGCAGGGGGAGCCAGGAACAGAGCCATGCAGTCCCTGCCAGGGCCAGCTCTGCCTTAGCCACGTGAGGTCCTAATAGGCCTGTCCCTCAACAGAGCCGGGCACCCAGAGCTACACTAGAACAATCAGAGGCACGAAGCTCATCAGTCCTATCTTCCGTGCCACAAACTGTAATCATCTACCCACATGAGCTAGAGGTGCAAAGTCCTGGGGCAGAAGGACTTCCGGCAAAGCCCTGGAGCCGGCCCGACCTAGGGCACAGGAACTAGCAGCCAGCATGCTGGGCTGGAGGATTAGGAAATAGCTCAGAGAATCCTCTGGTGGCCACCAACCGCAGGATCCCTCCCGGAGCTGTCAGACTGAACCCCAGGGGCATGCCGCCCCAAAGCCCAAATCATAGTCAACACCCACAAAAATAAATACTGCAAATAAAATTTCTCACATCCACTTCATACCCATTCATACTTTTCTCCGAGAACCAAGAAAGCCTAGCTCCAAAGATTCTCAGATCCCCATGGAAGGGGGAGACCTTGGACATAGCTTGGTCAAGAACGGGGTGCATTCATCTGGGGGAAAGACAGTCACCTGGTCGAGAAATATCAAAATAATCATCTGGCTTGGTACAAAAGTATCTTCAGACTCCAGGGGAAGTGGAAGGTGCCCAAGAGCCTGCAGGAATTGGAGTGAATGACAGGGGAGGAGGGAGGAGGAGGGTGGCTCGCTTGCTTGCTTGCTCACTGGTGGAGGTGGGCCCGGTCATCTGGGCGCTTGATGTGGATCCGCCGCACACGCTCGATCCGCTCTCGCTCCTCGTCTTCATCCAGGTGGTGAGAGCGACCAGCTGCCCCACCCGTGGCTTCCAGGAGCGCGTTGTCAGGTCCTCGGCCGTCCTGGGCCTCGTACAACAAAATATTGAGGGTCTCCTCATAAATACGGGCCTCTGGGAACTCCACCTGCATTCCCACAAAACACAAGGCAGGTAAGTGAGCATCACAAACACATACCCCACTACCTCTACTGCCACCTGGTACTTCCAAGAAGGGCCGCTGGCTCATGCAGGCCCCTGGGATTCCTCTTAACACTGCCATTAGTTTTATAGTAATTTTTGTTTTCAAGAGGCAATACTTACACACAGTGCTTACACAAGAAACAAAAGGGAAACAGTACATCCAAATGTACATTTATACACATGAATATTCACGGACTTTAAAACACACAAAAGGTGGCCCATCACACACTCCTCTGTACCTTTTGTTTTCCCCTAACTTAGGAAATCCTTCCATAGCACAGAATTACAACAATGTAACAATAAAATTAACCAATTAGGTAGTTTCCAACAGGTTTCTATTAATTACAGATCTGCACTCTTGGAGCTGCTCCACACCTTCAGGCAGCCTTTAATGCAGCCCCATGTTTTGAACAGGGACTGGCTGAAAAGGACATGACGCCTCTTGCATGGCAAAGCTGCATGTCTGCTGCTTGCCCTTCGGGGTTTAGGTTCTGTGAATCAGACGGGGCTGTCCAAATGGGCCCTGGGCACTTGACTCACAGGGTGGACACACTCTGCTCTCAAGGCAGGGTTCTGAGGTTCAAAGAGAAACGGAGAGAACACGCTCTACTCTGTCTTTTCTACTGAGGCCACAAAACCAGGAGAAAGAGTGCAGTGGCTGAGGACTGAGACACAGAAATCACAGCAGACAGAGCGGGGGTCAGCGGAGAGGCCAGAGTTTGGAATAATGCCTGGCCAGCAGTGAGTTTACTGCCCAGAGGGAGGTTAACGCAGCCTGCAACGCCGCAATGGTCATCAGCATAGAAGTTCCAGGGGGGCCACCAGAGCCTCCCAACACCTAGAGAGTGTTCCCAGTTTTCCTTTCCTTTTTCTCCATTCTCTTGCACCCGTATCTGTTCCCCCTAAAATCTTGCGGCAGCAACAGCCAGAGCCTGGGGGAGTCCTAACTCTGAAGGGGAACCTTCCTTCCGGATTAGGAGAGCTGTGGTCTCATCAGGATGGAGCAAATTTCTGCTGTTTTTCTCTTGCTTCTTTATGCTGCTTGGCTCCAGGGCCAGATCAGGTCCCAGGCAGTGTGAGGCAGAGTGGGGAACTGCAACCCCACCTTTCCAGCCAGATGACTGAACAAGGGGAGCCCCAGGGAAGCAGGAAGCACTAAAAGATGGTGAAGGAGGGGTGCCTGGGAAAGCAGTGTCTTGAGGTTTTTGCATGAACTCCTGGGATTGAGCCCAGCTGTCCATCTGTCCCTCAACAGCACACCCAGAACTGAGCCATGGGGGAGATCATTGCCCAGGACACAGCCTAGCCCTCGGTGCAGCCCAGGCCTGAAGGCTTTGGAAACAGGGCTGTCACTGGCACTGCAAACCACAGCTGGTTGGAACCTGTGGGCCAAATGCCCACTAAAACAAACAAAATCAATGTGCTTGTTAGAATTTTAAAAAGACCTGGAGCCCTGTAACATTCAGAATACAATTATAAAGTTCCTGGCATAATGAAGAACCAGAAAAATCTCAACTCCTGAGGGAAAACATAATCAACAGATGCCAATGCCAAGTCCAAGCTGACACAAGATGCTGGAATTATCTGACAGAGAGTTGAAAGCAGATATTATAAAAATGTCCCGACAAGGAAGGTCAAACATTTTTTAAATTTAATTTTATTTTTTAAAGATTTTATTTATTTATTCATGAGAAACACAGAGAAAGAGGCAGAGGGAGAAGCAGGCTCCCTGGGGGAGCCTGATATGGGACTTGATCCCAGTACTCTGCGATCAGGCCCTGAGCCGAAGACAGATGCTCAACCACTGAGCCACCCAAGCATCCCAAGGGCAAACTTTCTTAAAGCAAATGCAGACATACGAAGTTTCAGCAAAGAGAACACAGAAGAAAGAAATAAAAATTGTACAATTAAAAAACACAGTAACCAAGATAAACACAAAAACAGAAACCAAAAAAAAAAGCCCCAATTCACCGGCAGTGTGGAGATGACGGAAGAGAGTCTGTGAACTTGAAGACAGAAGAACAAAAGAAGTGATACCATCTGAACAACAGAACAAAACAGACCAACAGAGGGTGGGTTCTGTGCTGTACTACCACTGAGTCCCCAATAAGTCAGAATCCAGAACCAAATGGGATGACGTGTATTACAGATCTACTTAAAGCATACTTTCAGCAAGCCACAGCCTTTCCAGGTGAACCAGAGAAGACATTTAAATAATTAAAAGAAGGGCACCTGGGTGGCTCAGCGGTTGAGCATCTGCCTTTGGCTCAAGGCGTGATCCTGGGATCAAGCCCCATATCAGGCTCCCTGCATGGAGCCTGCTTCTCCCTATGCCTACATCTCTGCCTCTCTCACTGTGTCTCTCAAGAATAAACAAGTAAAATCTTTAAGTAAGTAAGTAAGAAAGTAAGTAAGCAGAGCACCTGAAGGTTGTACCAGGAAAGAAATAGCAATTCAAAAAAACCCCAAAAGAAAAAAACAAAAACAAAAACAAAAAAACCCCAAAAGGAACATCTGCCCAATTACTTGAAACAAGAGAACGTGTATTGGCTCCAAAGTTCAGCTTTGGAGGTATGTGGCAGAAGGAGGCACCCCTATGGGGCAGCCATTCCCCAACATGAACCCCTTAGAAAGCCAGTCACAGGCTTCCCCCAGAGAAAGGAAGAAGCCCTTGGGGACAGGATGGCAGAGCAAAGGGAGCTGTGGCTAGGGGCCCTGGCCTGCCATCCTGGGCCCTGCCTCTAGCCAATTTCAAAAACACAAGCACAGGGCTGCTCTGGAACCTGTTGGCTCATCTACCAAAGGCTCGGATCAGATCGTGTGGTCTCTGAATTCTTTGCTCCCTGTCAAACCGGAAAATGTAAAATCAGTATTTTAAAGTTTAATCAATGCAATGACTATCCTGTTAATATCCAAGGACAAAAGCAGCCCGTGTATATAACAAAACTTAACTGGCAAGAAAGGGAAGTTAGTTACCAGTAGAATTCACAGCCCTATAAAAGTTCACAGGAGAAAAGAGGTGTGGGTGGCTAATGCGGTAAAGAGAAGCAAGCAATTCTGGTCTCCCTGGGATCTTTTGAAAGAAAAAGGAGCCTCGGGATGCCTGGGTGGCCCAGCAGTTGACCGTCTGCCTTCAGCTCAGCATGTCATCCCAGAGTCCCGGGATGGAGTCTACATGGAGCCTGCTTCTCCCTCTGCCTATGTCTCTCATGAATAAATAAAATCTTAAAAAAAAAAAAAAAAAAAAAAAAAAAAAGAGGGAGCCTCAGTGTTTTTCCCTTCCTGGCTCTCTTAAATCAATAAGTATCTTTTGGGATATATTCTAAATACTGATGATACGATGTTTTAAAAGTTTAAAAATGCTTAGAGCTTTGGTGTCTACTTCGTGGTCTCACTCTCTCATTCGTCTTTTCTCCTGAGGCCAGCTCTAGAATCAGAGAACTGTGTACCCCTGGAGCTGCAGTGATGATGGTAGCCTGACAGGGTGGTCTACAGATCTGTGCATGAAAACCTGCCCAGCAGACCCACCGCAAGTCCCTGATCAGGGTTCCCTTAGAAAGGTTCAGAAGAAGTGACAGAGTACACTATAGGATTTTTTTGAAAAAAGAGAAAGAATACCAAGTTGCACAGCCCAAGAAGGGTAAGCAAGCAGAAGACCTGAAGGAGATGAAGTTCAATTCACAGAGGATCAGATCTCCAACAGCACACTGTGGCATGATGTAGCTTTGTAGGATGGCACAGTGACAGAGATCAAGTCCGTCGGTTTGGGAGAGGATGGATGACACAGTGGATCCAGAGTCCAGATCTGTTAGGCAGTTGTGTGCTCAGATGGAAGCCAACAAGCCTGGGAGCTACAGAACGCCCAGCAGGCCTGTGAGGCTGGAGGGCCACTCTAGGTCAGGGGGTCAGAGGACAGACAGACGGCAGTAAGTCGTAGGTCATGACTAGAAGGCCAAGGCCAAGCTCTTAAAGATAGCACGGCTCCTCTGATGATTGAGATGGGAGGGGGCTATGCTGGCGGGAAATGGTGGTACGCGAAGGGTGAGAAACAGCACAGGCAGTGTCCCGTCACTGACAGGAGACCATGCTGGCCTGGTGACAGCGGTAAAAGGATACATCTGAATTGACTTTTTTTAAGGTTTTGTTTTTAAGTAATCCTTATACCCAAAGTAGGGCTCGAACTCACAACCCTGAGATCGAGAGTTGCTTACTCCACCAACTGAGCAGGCCAAGCACCACTCTGAATCCATGTTTATGGCAAAAAGACTGAGCTGCAGTAGGACTGTCCCTGTGTGCCAATTGTCAGAGGAAATACCATTCTGTTTCTCCAAGGCCTGCCTCTGTCCAGGGCCCCAAAAAGCTGAGTATTTTCACAATGAGCAATGATGCGTCAAGGAAAGCCTTTTTAAAATCTCTCCTTAAGTTTTTTTGTTCCGGGGAAAGGGAAACTGTACAAGTAGTATTTCAGACTAGTCACCCAGAGCCACCCCCCTCAGAGCACTTACCTTGGTCTGCTTCTTCTCAGTGGCATAGACAATGGAGGTGCAGCAGACCTCGGCAATCTTGCGGCCCTGCCCATAGAAGGACCAGCAGCAGATCTCATCCCCAATGACGTCCTTTATGAACAGGACCCTTCCATTAAAGCGTAGAGAAAGCTTATCAAAGAGCTCAATGTTTTTCAACATATTGTCGTCAGAATTGCTGCAAGAGAGCATTCGAGAAGGTGAGTGCAGGCTGCTACTAGGTGCAGTTGAGTGTCTCTACATCCCATTCTAAGGTCACCTCTCTGCCGGTACTCTGCTGTAGCCAGGAGGAAATGTGGACAACTTAGGGCCTGTGAGCACAGGCACCAGGTGCAGAGTGTGGAGGCAGCCCCAGGAGTGGCAGAATGCAACTGCTCGAGGAAGGCTCTTCATCTTGGGTCCATTTATGGGTCTTGAGTCACCTCACTAAGCCCTCTGCAGCTGAGACCACATGGTCCCAAGAGCCGTAAGGCATTCTAGAAACTCATGTATGTTGCTAGTGGAAACATAAAATGGTGCAGCTGCTTTGGAAAAACAGTTTGGCAGGTCCCCAAATGACTAACCCTAGAGTTACCGCAGGACCCAGAAATTCCACTCTCAGGTATGCTCAAGAGAAATAAAAACCTTCATGTACACGGAAACGTGTACATGAATGTTTGTAGCAATATTCACGATAGCCCCAAGGTGGAAACCACCCTGATTGTGCACTGATGAATGGATCCACAAAATGCAGTTAATATCCATATGATGGGATATTATTCCACCATAAAAAGGATGAGGTATTGATACACCTGCCACAACAAAGATGAACCTTCGACAATGTGATGCTAAGTGAAAGAAGCCAGCCAGTCACAAAAGGCAATGTACTGTAGGATTCCATTTATATGAAGTGTCCAGTAGACAAATCCACAGAACAGAGAGAAGTGTTTGCCAGGGGGTGGGGTGAAGAGTGACTAGTGGTCTCTTTTAGATGATGAAAATGTTCACAAAGTAGGCACATGGTAATGGCTGAACTCTGTAAATATACTAAAAACCACCAAACTACTATATACTTTAAAAGGGCAGCCTTTATGATATGTGTGAATTCAATCTAGTATCTGTCATCTGCCTCCCCTGGACATCCTTGAGGTACAGAGGGCCACCCTCCCTGGAAGATAACAGGAGGACCTGGGCCTGGCCTGTGTGAGCAGAAACTTTCCTAGCCAATGTGGATAGTTTTTCTCACTGACACCTTACCTGGTATATGAATATTTGTTGTTACTTCTGTTGTAGAGCAGCTTCACGGCTGGCTGAAGGCAGTTATAAAAAAGAAAGAAAAGAGTCACTTGGAGTGGAGGTACTGTGGACTATGGGCTTCCCACAGGGCTGGACCCTACCACCAAGTCAAGGAGGCAGCTAAGCACAGCTGGCAGACTGGGGGATGGTGTGGGAGGGCAGGGAGGGAGACTGTAGGACTCACAATTGGAAGGAGGGGGGAAGACGCGACACAAGATGAACTGCAGGTGCCCATTCTTCATCCCTCCTCAGCCTTGCTCAGGCACGTCTACAGGTTTCTATTTCAAACCTCATTCATGATTTCAATTGCTAAAAAAAAACGGCCACAAGGGTGCCTCCAACATACCTTATTTGAAGTTGCGATAAGTTTCTGCTCTTCCTTGGATGAGGTGATAACAGGAACTTTGCAAAAAGGCTCGTAAGTATCTTTGTTCTGCTGGAACAAAACATGCTTTCAGCCTAGGAGGCCTGCCCAACATCAGATTATTTAGCTGGCCTGCCAGGCAAAGACAGGCTCTGGCAAGGGAAGATGGGACTGCCAGCGCTGGGAAGAAAGGAGTTAGGGTGGGGTACGGCCAAGAGTCGAGTTCTCCAGTAGACGTCTGCTCTTTGGCCAGGGCGCTCAGTAAATCCTAATGATGGTGAGACACATTTACACAGCCCAGGGAGTCACTTAAAAATAAACTCTAAACACAACAGATGAAATATAATATCAGCCATTAAAGCACCCCACTGCAAAACTGTAGAAGAATTTCAACAGTCTAAGCTTATATGGAGAAAAAGATCGGGAGAAGGTAAGTCTGCAGACAAAAGATGTTGAAAATCTGAGGATGGGAAGCAGATGAGGAATACTGAGGGGAAAGAGAAAGCCAAAACGTAAGTTACCAGATGGGAAAGAACCTGAAGTTTTTCAAACAACAGTTCTGACTGCTGGTGGGCAGAGGGCAAGAGCAGGGAATAGCCAGCCCGTCAGCAGAAGCACCAGTGAGACCCCACCACCACCATTACCACCATTGTAGCTGTCGCCGCCGCCAACAGCAAAAGAAATATCTACTCTTCTGGAGTGGTTTGTGGAGATGAGGACAGGGTTGAGTTGCTCTTCTGAAAACAGGGGGGGATTAAGTGAATGGTCCACAAACTAAATGGTGGGCTCCAGCTCCTTCTCCTATTCAGATCTTAAAAGGCAGCCAGTCAGGCTTATACCCAGGCAAGAGAGTGGAACATTCCCCCATGGGGATCTGATCAGTTCAGGGAAAGGCTTACAGGTTCTGACACTGGGAGTCCCTGCTGAAAGAGCCTTATCACCCACCACTAAAGCCCACTGGACAAGAAAGCCCACACACACACATACAGCTTTTCAGAACCTTACTCTTAAATTTTAACAGACCAAAGATCATCAGATTATATGTGGAAAGTCTCTCAATTGTGAGACTGAAACCAAAATAAAGAGGAAGACGGAAGGAGTCATGATGAGGGCAGCAGAAAGAAAACTCCAAGACAGAGGAAAACAGATATGAATCCTATGAAACAAAGTGCAGTGTTCTATATTAAAAAAAGAACACTCAGAGAACATGAAAAGGCTCTTGGAAGTTAGAAATATGAGAACTTTAGAAATGTAAAGTTCAAAAGAAGGGCTGAAAAGATAAAGCTGAAGAAAACCTATGAGAAAGTAGAACAGGAAGATAAAAGCAACAGAAACTGAGAGGGGGTAGTCCTGGAGGTTCCACCTTAGACTAATAGAAAACACAGAAAGGGAACCCAGAGAGCTTGTCTCTAAGACAAAGGAGAACAGATTCACTGGTGTGTCTGAACACACCAATAGGAGACTGACCTTTCTGACCATTTAGGGATGAATCAGGAATATGTACTTAGAAAACCAAGCAGACAAAACAATGAGGCAATCACTAACCCTGGCAAACTGAAAGTTGCATAATAAAGACATTTTTCACTGTATACTCTGAGGCTTAACTGTTAACAATATTTAGAGATCACAAAGTAAACTCTGAATACTGACTTAACCAAAGCTGTGATAAACACTATATTGGGAAAAGAGAAGAAGGAATATGTGTACATAAAAGATTTGTAGTGACTGGGGGTGGTGGTAGTACATGAGCTAAATTTTAATTCTCTGTACACCAGTAGATAATGTTGAAAACTGAAATGAATAGTGTAAGAAATACAAAAGTAAACAGAACTTTTGAAAGAATTAACAGAGGAGGAGCGCCTGGATGGCTCAGTTGACTAAGCGTCCAACTCCTGATTTTGGCTCAGATCATGATCTCAGGGTTGTGAGAATGAGCCCTACATCGGGCTCTGCATTTGGCGTGGAGGCTGCTAGAGATTCTCCGATCCCTTACCTGCCCCCTCAAATAAATAATAAATAAAATCTTCAAAAAAAATTAATGGAGCAAAAAAGTATGATGTGTATACATTTCCTCAACAAACAAAAATGAATTAAAAATACTAACCTAAAGGCTGTAGACTCTCAGGGTAGAGGTGGTATGTGTAAACAATAGCTCCTCAAGGAGGTAGGCAGTATGGGTACTGCTCCAGTGGAGGGCCAGACATGTGGCCTGACATAAGAGCCTCAGGTATACAGATCCAATTCCTATGACAACCTGAAGGGACTCTTCTGATTCTCTGCCATGTTAGAACTTGGCTTGAAATAAATGGCTGCTGGCTATATCCAGAAGCATTTTGGTTTTATAGGGATTTTACTATCATGACTTGATCCCAATGGTCCTTCCCGAGGTCCACCTGAGGAGTGAGGGGTGTCTGAATCTACAGAGATTATATGAGGCTCCCAATGACAACTGGTTGGTTAAGAGCAAGTCCTGAGATGTGTCCAGAAAACTGATTAGGTTTTATACCCCATACTGAAGAGTTTCAATGTACACATGATGGCCCAACATGACAGCGAATGAAAGCCAGAGTGGCCTAAGCATTACAGGGAAGCCTCTAAGGAGTCACTGACCAGAGAAGAGAGAAGTTCCAGGGTTACTTGTGAACTCTTACATCTCAATAAAGTAGGAACTGCCCCCATTTTGTAGAGGACGAAAATGAGGAGAGCAATTGGGCCTGGTACCTCCCAACTCTTACAGGGTAAAAAGGGTGATACCTACTTGTAAGGCTGCCTGGCATTCTTCCACCAGGCCCTGGACCAGGTAGTACTTGGCTTCTGCCAGCAGCTCCTCAATCTCCCGGCGGCTCTCAGGCAAGGGGACCGCCCCGTCACGAAGGTAGTTGAGTATTGTACCAAAGTGTTTCCCACACCGGTCAATAAGGATCCAGCCTGTAGGGGGAGGAGAAAAGGGGGCCTAGTCATATAGGCACTCATCTCTTGGTGCTGAGGACAAATGGGGTGTCTCTTGGCCCCCTCCACCTCCCAGGGAAGAGCAGGATCACAGAGGGGGGAGCAGCACCACCTGCCCAGCCATCAGCAAAAGGCTGACTAAGCCCTGCCTGGGAAGCACTGCAATGGTCTCCAGGCCACAACCACAGACTCGGTTGGTCTCTCAGGCTCTTTTGGATGCCAGAACCTCTGAGGGCCTAAAAGTGTGTTTCTAAAATATCCTCAAAAATCCCTTAGACATCCCAAAAGTACACTACACTTGGATAAAATGGGTCCAAATGACCACACAACTCAATGGTAGGGGAAAAGCTTGAGGTAAAAATATCTACTCTCCCTCTTTCTACAGTGTTTTTTTTAGATTTCCAAATAACAGAGCCACTTCTAAGGAGGCAGAAGACTGCAACCTCTGGCTCCCAAGGGGGATCCCTGACACTCACCAATACCACCCCAGGATGTTCCATCTTTAACTCCCCCAAATAAGTACTTACTGGCTAGTGACAGCCACTGGAGAGAAGATGGTAAACCAGAAAGAACTTGTCCTAGGCAGTTCAGTTTAGCATGGGGAGATGGAATTTGTTTTCATTAACTATAGGAAAATGTGTCAACTGCTGAGCCCTTTAGCTTCTTGATGACCTCTCCATTTGGGGGGTCTGGGCTGCTATACCTCCACTAGGCATCTCCAAGTTTTCACAATTCCTCTTCAGAAATGCCAATATTATAGAGGGGGGTGTGTGTGTGTGTTACTTGTAGGAGGAAATAATACTAGAGCTTGAGAAATGGAGGGACATAAAAGGAGAGGTAGGGATGAGGCAAAGACCTGGTATGTCTTGAGATGACAGGAGGCTTCAGAAAGTAACCAGGTTGTAGAGAAGTACCCCCTCCCCCAGTCCAGTAGGGCAACCCCAGTGAGGGGCTTCCCCAGGTCTCCTGTCCCCTGGGGTCAGGTGAGAGGATACCAAAGCACAGGGCATTTAGGTTTAAACAGGAATCCATAATTTTATTCCCTCTTTCCTTGTCCATTGCTCAGTTTGGGAGAAGGGGCCCACACTTAACACTTTTAACACCATGGTGTTCTGCCCCAAGTCCTCCGCAGAATCCCAGACTCTGGCTCAGACACAAAACCCAAGAGCAGCAAAGACACCTCTTTCATATCCAGAGTCACAAGGCCACCCACTGCCCCCTTCCCCAATCCAGCCTTGACAAGATGTTCTCAGGGTTATAGGGCAATATATTTATTTGGTATTTACAACAATCACTAGGAGTTTTGTGAGGCCATTTCGATACTCCCATCCTACAAAGTCCTCAGCCCATGGCTCCTGGACCGTTGGTTAAAGGTCTGGGCTTGTCTCTCCAGAGGCTTTCGCTTGGTACTTCCACAGTGCTATGGCTTCCTGAGTACAGTGAGAAGAGTAATTCCCAGTGTGGCAAACACAATGCAAATGCGTGGCCTGAAGTCAAACTCTGGTTTCAAGGAAGGAAGAGGCCTTCACAACCATGGTAAATCACACCACCCTGACAGTGACTGCTGGACCTTATCCCACTGCTTTTTTCTACATTTGAGATAATCAAGTATGGATGGAGTATCAGTCATGTAGCTCAGATGCCCAAAGGGGGTCCTGAGCAAGCAACATAAATGAGTGTAGATGGGTCTGGGCCCAGAGGCTGACTAGAGAGAGCACGTGCCCTGCTCCTGGGGGATAGGAGATGGAGAGGCTCTTCTCAATTCAGCCAAGAACTGCTGGGCAGGAATGTGGGCCTAGGGCTGCATGAGATTTTGATATTCTAAAGAGAAGCCAGAAATGCAGATTTCTCCGGGAAACCTCCTGATTTTTAAACAGTGGTAAACCAAGAGGTCATCAATCCATTCTAGGCCAAGGAAAACCCATCTGCAGGCCACCCTGGGCATACAGACCAGCATTTTGCGACCTTTCTGCTACCCTGGATCAAGTACTTTTCTTCCAATGAGTGGACAAGGTGTGGAAGGACCATACTATCTTCCCAACCGTTCTTTTAGAAGGAGGCTCAGTCCCCTGCACCATCCACAGATAACAGAGCCTCAGAGAGGTTCAGGGACATTCCTAAGTTGGAAAGGCAGAACTGAAGCAAGTAAGAAGCAAGTAAGAAATTCACAGGAAAGCTCCTTCCACCCGAACTGAGAAGACAAGTAGAGCCTCAGTCTTCAGAGGAAGGAATGGCAACCTTAATTTAACTCAGCAACCCGGGGAAGAAAATGTCCACGTTCCACCTTTGACGCATGGATAACTTAGCTGCTCAGAAAGAGCAGGAGCCCCTGAAATCAATTATCCAAGTGACAGTCCAGAGTTTCCATAAACGAATAGGCAGACCGTGACATTGGGCTCCAGCTCAAGAATGCTGTCAGGAAATGCTTGCGGTGAAGGAATCATATTTTAGACAAATAAGGGCAAAGGAGCCGGCGGGCTCGCCAGGAGGTTTCAATTAGCATTCTGATTTTAAAATATTTCAGTTGCTTTCAAAGCCGGAATCGACCCCTTTGAAACAGCTCAAACGCCTACCATGTAGGAAAGCAAATGGAAGTTAAGCAGCTCCTTGCTTGTGGAGAGCCTGTCCCACTGCCACGGAGCATGCAGGCTTTTTCAGAAGTCTACACAAGTCAGGGCAGCCTCGTGTCTGGCGGCCCATCCAGCAAGGCTGAAGAGCATAAGAGGCAGGTGCAGCCCTGGAGGCTCTGGAATGGTCTGGGAGGTGCCACACAACCCAGTGGTTAAGAGCAAGGGCCTATATTAGAAATCCAGTTCTGCTGCTTTCTTGCTGGATGACATGGGTGCTGCACCAAATCTCTCTGTCCACCAGTTTCCTCTCCTAAAACTCGTACCCCTGAGGGCTGGCACAAAGGCATGATGAGAGAATGTATGGGACACACAGCATAACTCCTAAGGTTTATTGGCAGCACTCAAATGAGGTCTTTGACATGAGCCCTTCCCGCATCTCTTCATCATCAGTGGAGAACAGAGTGGCGGCAGTGTCCAGAAGGGGCACATTCCAGCCCTCAGGAGAGTCTGAGTGGCTTTCAGGGTACCCCAGAGAAGGCTTCTCTCAGGGACAGGGGATTGGGCCACAAGGCTTGCCCTCTCCCAGCCCCTTTCCCTGCCTCCACTTCCATGGACAGGGCAGCAGGGGCTTCATAGACCTCTCCCTAGCATCCCAAGATTTTTATACTCTATTTCTGTTCGTAAGTCACCAGAGGTGCTTGTTACAAATTCAATTCTAGGAAACTGCCTCATTCTGATTCCAGAGAATCAATCTCTGGGGCAGGGCTTCTCAGCCTCGGCACTACTGACATTTTGAACCAGATCATTCTTTGTTACGTAGGGCCTATCCAGTGCATTGTGTGGTATTTAGCAGCATCCCTGGCCACTACCCACTAGGGGCCTGCAGCATTCCCACCCCCAAACCGTGACAACCAGAAATGTCTCTGGACATTGCCAAACGTCTCCTGGAGGTCAAAATCATCCCTGGTTGAGCACCAATGAGGTAGATCAAAGACCTAAATGTAAAAAATAAACAATGTAAAAACTTTAAGGTATTAAAAAAATACCATTAAAAAAGCTTTAACAAGTCACACTGGGAGAAAATATTTACAACATAAAATCACAAAGAAATGGATCCAGAATATATACTTTTATAAAGCAAGAAGATGATAAAGGAAAACAGGAAAATGTGTAAATAAAATGCAATCACGCAGCTCTATGATGAAACACAAATGACAAGAAGATACTTAACACTAGAAATTAGGAAATGTTAAATAAAACCACAGAGTACTAGATCATAACCATCAGATTGGCAATAATTAGAAAGTTCGACAGTGCCCAGTGTTGGCACAAATTCAGACCATGTGGGGAGCATAAACAGGGACAACAGCTAATACTAACCAAGCCACGGATGTCATCCTGGAATCCTCTCCTGGGAATAAACTCCCGGACAGAGCTCCCAGTGGTAGATAAGAGCTCAATGCTACAGCAACTGAGGTGGCTGGGTCCAGAGCCTGTTCACTTACCAAAATAAAAATATGCCTTCCTGTGTGTGCCATATGTGGCAAAGGTGGGAAGCTCTGCCATAGAGAAGATAGAGAAGCTCATATATCCCGGAGAGTGTTCAAGAAAGGTAATATTCCAAACAGTGAACACTGGAAGCAATCTAAACAACCATCACCAGAATATAGATCCATAAACTACAGTATATTCCCAGAATGGAACACTTAGCAGGAATGTTTGACCTAGATGATTCCATCTCAGAAGCATAATGCTGTGAAAGCAAAGAGATGACAATGTTACATCATTTATACAATGTTGGAAAACACACCAAGGACACATTGTTTAGGGGCAGAAACAGTATAGCAAAAGTAATTCACTGACAGATTCAAATCAGTGGTTTTCATCACTGGTCACACATTAGAGTCTCCTGCAGAGCTCCTGAAAAGTCCTAACGCCCCTTAGAGCTAGCTTTCTGGGAGGTGAGAGTGTTGGGGAGAACCCAGGCATCAATCTTGAAATTCCAGCTGAGTCACTGCACCACAGACGTTGAAATTCACTTAGTGACCCCCAAGGTCAGGCAAGTGGTTAACTTCTGGAAGGGAGAGAGGCAAACAAAGAATGTAAAGAGAGGCGCCATCAGCCCAGGTAGCATTTTATTCCTTGTCTGAGTGGGGGTGATGTGGAGAACAAAGGCAAAAGAAATGCAGAAAAAAATGAAATCTCTTTACAACTTTCAACTCATTGACAAGCTGACCTAAGACAGGCAGTGAACTTCCTCCAGGAACTCAACTGCTTCTCTATTAATACTTTGCTAGGGGCAATAAGCAACTTGACATTAGCCTGACCTCCAGGATCATCTTTAACATATAAAAATCCCTTTGGAAAACTCCTTTATCTCTACCCCTCTCCTTCCTTCCCCCTCCCCCACTATATGTGGGCAGTCATCCTCTAAACATAAGGCCCACTGAAAGATACCTGAAGATCTCATGACTAAGGGTTAAGCACATAGTAGTAGTAAATGACCTTAACAGCAGCTAGCTCCTCAAGGTCCTGGAACTCTTGCTTCCAAATTCCTTAGAGACTTCTGCTACCCCTAACCCCTCCAAACTTGAAAGTAGATAACCAGCCACTCCTCACAACCCTGGAGCAGCTCTTTCTGCCCCTGGGGTCCTGTCCCTGTGGCTTTAATAAAAGTCACCTTTTTTACACCAAAGATGCCCCAAAAATTCCTTATTGACCATTCACTCCCAGCCCCAACATTTCACAACAGGGGCACAAGGGAGTTTGTTTTATTCATCACATTTTAAAAGCTCCCAACGTATTCAGAATTTTACAGAAGAGTGCATTCCGATTTAAGCAGGAAGTATGGAGATCTTGCGGAAACCACCAGGTACTACAGTTTCCCACATACTACACTGACTTCCCCACTGGATTTCAAGGGAATGTGTGCTGATAAGATCAGTGACTCTCTTCTTTAATCTGGTTCACTCATACTCCCTCATTCCAGAAACATTAGCAAGAGACCAGAAACAGAGAGTGGGGGGTGGGAAAGCACTGTACCAAAGAGTAGGGATGAAACAGGCAACTACAGGTGAGTACTGAGGCAAAACTCTTATTAGGGAAGGTACCTCCTCAATCCATGCGACAAGGAATTAGGCAAAAATTCCAGTATTACAGGGACTGCACCTTTCGGGGGGCGGGGGGAGTCCACGAAAGGACTCCCTAGAAAAGTCATCCTTCAGGAGTAAGGTACAAGTGTAGAGCACTCATCCCCAAGGCCAAATGGGCCACTTCTCCCCAAGACACTGCTAAGATCTGCTTGCTTCTCCAGCACCCCCATAGCGCCCCTCCCTCCACCTTGACACTCCACCAGACAGGCTGCAGCAGGAGTGAGCAGTCCCCACAGACTGAAGTCTCCCAAGTCTCCTAACTGCCAGGCACTCCCATTAAGAACAGTGATAAACTGAGCTGTTAGAAATCCCTGAAGGATGCCCGAGAAATCCACTGCTTCTGGGGTGAGGTCTGGGGCCCAGGGTGGGTGGCAGATTCTCTTCTGCTCCATGCCCTCCTGCCTGTTTGCCTTTTGTACTGTGTGTGTCCAATCTGTGAGCAGGGAAGTTGACAGTAAGTGGGTTTGGGGCCCCGGCTCTGGCCCAGGGTAATAGTTACAGCTAAGAGTATGTGGCATTTAATTTAGACTCATTTGTCACTTACTGGTAATGGGACAGGAGCCTTGGTTCTCCAAGAGCTCAGCCCCCACGCCAGGTTCTCCCATTGCTGTATCCGCTTGCCTCGTGGAGGTGCACTTGCTATTCTGGCCTGTTTGTGGCAAACATCACTGCAGAGCACAGTAAAGTCCATGGTGCAGCTGTGACAAGCAGGACATTTACGCTAATTTGTAGACCCGAGGGTGTATGTGAGGGAGCACTCAGGCCACCAGGTCAGGCTGTGCGGCATACTCACCAGGGGCCAATGGGATTGGGCTGCCTGGCACAGTATGGGCTGGAAGACCAGACACAAAGCTGGCGGTTGACCCATAAGGCTGATGCACTCAGGCAACCTGACCTGGGGGCTGAGCCCTTGGAGAACCAAGGCCTGCCCAGAGTAAGAGCCACTCAGCCCTGGGCTCAGTAGCTGCTTCCCCCCATCCCCCACCAGCTTTCAAAAAGGATCTTTCACTTACTGAAAGTTAGCAACAGTAGCACCCCTGGTAGGGTCAAAATGAAGGGTAAAAAACACTCATAAAATGCAGCATGGTGAGCTTTTCATGACAGGCTGGGGCTCTAGCGGAGCCCTGTGAAAACGGCCAAGGTCAGAGTGCCAAAGACAGCCTTTCTTCCCTGGCGGCACCAGGAGTCCAGGGATCCTGGCGGCACCACTGGGAATGGGACAACCTCCAGTAGCTGTTCAGAAGCCCAAGCAGGACCCCTGATACCATCCCTGCGTCCTTCCACTAGGGGATGGAAGAGATTGAGGACCAGCTCTTCCTCGGCATGGCATCAAGCCAGCAAGGGCTTCAAGGAGATGAGGCTCCAACTTTGCTTCCAAAGGGACTCCGCCGCTTTTCCTGAGCCCCACCAGAGACCGGGTAGGGCTGAAGAAAAGCTACAACAATCCTGGGTTCTCAGATAAGGTCTATTTCCTTCTGCAGCTGGAGCACTATTGTCTCCGTCTCTACAAATACTCCTCAGCGATGCTGGGTGTGGCTCTGCAACGGGGATCCTCCCACTCATAAAACACTCTGCTTTCTGGGGAGACACACAGAAGGAAGCGCTGGGGCACAAACCTCATTTATCTGATGTTTGGCCAGAAATCCAAGTTCTCAGGAAGCCCAGGGAAGCAGAACCTCAAGCCCCACAGCCAGGTCTTGTCCAGGACGCCGAGGGAAACACCCTAACTAGTGCACAGCTCACGCTTCAGGTCTGCAATCCCACCTGCTTGTGTCAAAACTCGCCCACCTTTCCAGGAACCAACGTCACATGGAAGGCAGAGGCATTAGCATGACAGTCAACCTCAGAAACAGGTAAGGCAGGGTGCAGCCAGGCTGTGATCTGGCCAGGTCTTAAGCAATCGCAGGCCAAAGAAGAAAGGATGGTGCCATCTTTAAACCTCACATGACCTGCCCTGTCAACCCAGCCAGGCAAGAATGTCCCCCTTGCCAAGTCCTTTCAGATTATTCCAGGTGGGTAGAAAGCAGTTACGGTAAGATCATTTAAAAAAATTCTTTGCCTTTCACAAACGTGACATCCCAGAAGAAAACGGAAAGAAACATGCACTAAATGTACGTGTATTGAATCCCACACCAACAGCCCCACGAGGTGGGTATCCTTGTACCAATCTCACCTCGTTAGGAGCACTGGCTACCACACAGGAAGCTGAGACTTAAGTCCAGCTCTGTGAGCTTTTGTCAGGCCACCATCCCGGGAGGACAAGGGTCCAGAGAAGACATTCATGTCTGTCTGTCTCTGTTTCTCTCTCTTATTTCACTCCAAAGTCACAGAACCATCACTGAGAACTGGCAGGGGACCAACCAGGGCAGCTAGTCCAGCCACCACTTCACAGAGCTGAGGCCCAGTGGAATGGGCAAGTGACTTCCTCAAAGTCCCAGGGCAAATTGACAACTAAATCAAGACTATGAGGGGATCCCTGGGTGGCTCAGCGGTTTAGCGCCTGCCTTTGGCCCAGGGCGTGGTCCTGGAGTCCCAGGATCGAGTCCCATGTCGGGCTCCTGGCATGGAGCCTGCTTCTCCCTCTGCCTGTGTCTCTGCCTCTCTATGTCGATCATAAATAAATAAACAAACAAACAAATAAATAAATAATAAGTCAAGACTATGAGTCCCCACCCAGGTAACTTCAACTCCTCTTCACGTCTCGGCCTTTATGTCACTCTATCAGGGAAACCCTCCTTTACGATATCCCCTCATTTGGATCTGGTATCCCAGTTCCTCACTCTCAAGGCTCCCTGAGAGCACATTTTCTCAGGAAATCTGTACCTATGTGGACAACTGCTCATGTAATGTTGGCCTTCTGGAACTAGAAGAAAGTCCTCAACCACAAACACATCCTCAGAGCCTGGAGGGTAACCTTACCTTCACTGTCAGTGAGTACTTCCATGCGCCCGCTGAACATGGCTTTCAGCATGGTGTCCTGCTTGGTCAGTGTCTGCATGGTGGTGTAGTAGAGGGCCCCGCCCACATTCAGCTTTACGTACTTAGAGCTGGGACTCGTGCCCTTGAAGGAAGTGGTGCGGGTAGCAGCCGCTGGCACCGCTGAGCTCACCACACTTTCTCCTGACATCTCTTCCTGCCAGTAGAGAAGACACAGGGTCACCAGGGTCACAGCACCAGGCCTGCTTTACCTTTTAGCCTGTGGGCTGAATCTGGCCTCCAGATGTGTTTTGCCTGGCACAAGTATATACCGCATTTAAAACTTCTGGATGGCTGCCAAGGTTGACAACACAAGAAGAGTTCACACACACACACACACACACAAAAACCCAAAAAACAAAACAAAAACAAAAACCTAGCTTTTCTGAACATCAGAGGTCAACTGGGCCACCAGGGTGCCCACAACTGGTGGGAACTGGGTATTGGCTGCCCCAAACCCACCCAGATAGCCTCATATGCTGACCTCACCTGCTGACCCTGCAAGAACAAGTTTACCACTAACTCTTGTGCTGTGAGGACTTCCGTTCTGCATGTTCCACACATAAGCGAACACCTGGATGCATCCTAAAGCAGCTTAAAGCACTGCCCGGGTCTCTCTCAGTTTCCTTGTCATGCACCACTCAACAGCTGAATTCCAGATGAAATAAACTTTTATATAAATTGAGTGGGATCCCAACTACCACTCCTAATCCTTCCTGTAGGGGCAGGGGGAGGTTTCTCAGGACTACATGACAGACATTAAAAACCCTTGGAAGCAATTTACTGCAAAATTAGAGACTTCCTGTACTAGTGCCACCCAAAACAGCAAGATCTGAGGACAGTCTCCTTAATGGCACTGCCAGTTATGTGTCCATCACAAAGCAATGGACATATTATCTGACTTAAGAGGCTTTCGAAAGGAGATTGGTAGCTGGTACCTATGTACTCAAAGAGAATGTTTCTTTTATAGGTAAAATTCTATGGCTGGAGATGTCCCAGAAGTGGGCTGATTCTTTACGACTCGGGCACAGCAGAGGTAGCAGCCCCCTGACAGCTAGGGACCTGGCCTGGCACTCTTATCGGGGCTTTATGTTTACCGCTGAACACAGACGATTCATATAGCACGTCACCATCTGCCAAGGCCACTCAGTGCCTGATGGATCAAGACATAAACAGGACTACTCCATAATTATGTCTGAGTACAGACTAAAACAAGAACATTACCCAAACATCACCATATCCTGACCAATCTGACTGACTCACTGTCGCTTCTTTAAGTTAGAGCTTTAGCCCCATTCCATTCTCCCCACTTTCAACATAGGAATTATGAGACCCAATCACGGAATTAACTCTTCTTCCTGACAGCATTCAGTACAGTGCAAAACCTCACTTCCCTGAATCCTCCCCAAAATCATACAAGGCAAGCCCCAATCCCTCTGAGATCCCCCAGGGTTCTCCCTCATTGTCACAAGGAAATAAACCCAACTTTGACTATCAGCATGCTCCTGCGGGTTTTGACAGCACACAACTTTAAAAAACTATACCCTGACCCTGAGAAAGGATTTCTTTTTAAAAGATTTTTTAAAAAATATTTTTAAAAATTTATCTGAGACAGCAAGAGAGCTCATGAGCAAGGGATAGAGCAGAGGGAGAGGGAAAAGCAGGCTCCCCACTGAGCAGGGAGTGCAACATGGGCTCTGGAGGAGCCTAAGGCAGACACCCAATCACCTGAGCCATACAGGCACCCCAAGGATTGTTTTTTAAATTCTCTACGCCTATCTTGTTTGGATCTCCCACAGTTAATATGAATTACATTTATAACGGGTAAACACAAAAGTTATTTTTCAACGGGCAAAGGGACTAATGCTGTCCATCGTTCGGTAATAGAGGCAAGAGCCAACCCTCCTCTTGATCTCCATCCACCCAAAAGAGCCGCCTGGAAATCATCCACTAGGGGACTCATGTCAGGGCCCTGCAGGATGGCACAGGAAGAATGGGCTCCTGGAAAGAAAAGTATTTTCTCAAAACAGTGTTCTTGCTTCATCAAGTGACTATATCCCAAGAAGGTACATTTTTCAAAAGCTTAAGCTTAACTCACCTGGGCTCTCTGTGACCGAATGCCAGAAATAGAAGGGGTAATAAGAAAGCAATGCCCCTCCCTTCCAGTGTTCCTTTGAAATCAGTCCCCAGAAACCCTGCACTAATGATTATCACCAACCATCCCCCCACCCCAGAAATACTCTGTTCATGGGATGATAGAAGTAGCTGGAGAGAAGAAAGAGTTTCTCAAAACTTTAAATACCTAGGGAAGGGGAGGAAGGTGAAGGCTTACAGGTGTGAGGCTTGGGGGTTTTTCAGTTAGGGAAAACTGCTCCAAAATGTAAATACTTTTTAAAGCACCCTTTCAGATCTAAATTTACACAAAAATACGTGTTTTGGGAAATGGTCTAGCATTTTGTAAGGCACCTATGAAACAAAAAAGGCATGAAGTATACTCCAATGTACTTTTACTTTCCAATACCTTTTTAAAGTTAACTTGCATGCAACAGAGTATATGCACAAAGTGCACAATTTGAGGAGTTTTGGACAGTATATGCATCTGTGTAACCACCACTCTAATCAAAATAGAGAACATTTTCATGGTTCCAGAAAGCCCCTGGATGCCCTCTTCACAGAAGGTACCATCATCTCTACCACCACATACAACATTTAAAATCCAAACAATGCTGGAACACCGCCATCGTTATTTCCAGCTTGTAGATTTGTGGGTTTTTTGTTGTTTTTTAAAAGATTTTTATTTACTCATGAGAGACACACACACAGAAAGAGAGAGAGACAGAGAGAGAGAGAGAGAGGCAGAGACACAGAGAGAAGCAGGCTCTATGCAGGAACCCAATGCAGGACTCGATCCCGGGTCTCCAGGATCACACCCTGGGCTGAAGGCAGGTGCCAAACCGCTAAGCTACCCAGGCGTCCCTGGCTTTTAGATTTGGATAGCACATCCCAGAGTTGTTCCCAAAGTGCACTGGCACTGGAGGTGGGTCAGTGACAGAGCAAGGACATGGGCAGGTCCTGTCTGGGCTTGAGCCCATCATTTTCCCAACATTCGTACTTGAGATATACAGAGCTGGAATACATAAATTGAGAAAGGAGTGCCCCATCCCTCCTTCTTCATCAAGTACAAAACAAGCTTTGAAAAGAGATGGGCAGCAATGTGTGGCTAAGAGTTTAGGTTTGCAAGTCAGATGTGAGTTTAAGTACCCAGTCCTGCCATTGACTGACCAGTTGTGGGAGCCTAGGCAAATCATCTGAGTCTAGCCCTGTCTAGCGGAACAACAGCAGTGTCTCCCTCTCAGGACTGTTCTGAGGGATGCCACAGAGTACTCAGCATGGTTTCTGGCTTACAGCAGCAAAGACTCACGTTATGATTATTCAAGAATGCTCTCAGAGTCTCCAATTATCTTTTCTCTGAAGACCATTTCCAACTCTACAGACACCCACCAGAATCGCTAAGAGATAAAGCAGAAACCATCTTGATCTAGCTTGAGACTCCAGAATAGGCAAAGAAAGCTCTGAACCTTTCTGGAGCCCACCCTTCTAAAGGTCAGTCACCTCAATACTGGGAATGGTCTTTGGTTGAAAGATAGTCTGACTGTTCATGTCTCTGAGCCCGTATTGCACTGAGCTAAGGACACAAAGCAGCAGACACTAAGCCTCCCCAGCACATCTCTCTACAGAAGACTCCTCAGCCACTGCTACCAGGATCCTGCTTTTTTTTTTTTCACTTGTTTCAAAGTTTTGATTTCATCATTAATGAGGTTGGGGAGGTGAGGCAGGAGAGAGCAAAACTGGTTACAAAAAACAAAGATAAAATTAATACTTGAGGTATTGGTTATGGATTCTATTCAATCTGAAAATTTTAATCCAGTTAGATCTTCCCCGAGTATCCTATTGCTGACTCTAAACAGTGGCTCTCCCCTTAAAAAAAAAAAAAAAAACACAAAAAAACCTGACATCAGAGTCCTATTCATGTAAATTCTGATGTTAGCTGATCTAGGGGTATGGCCTGAGCAACAGAAATTTTTTTGACTCCCCTAGGTGATTCCAACGTGCAGCCAAAATTGCAGCCCACCACTGTAAATAGTTCTGTACACCTATGCACTTCATCATCTTGAAGAAGCTCCCCCAAACTCCTGTTCTATTGGCCCAGTGAATTCCTGACCACACATAAAAATAAACCAGAGCATCATAAACAAAAGCCAGCCCCTATTTCACAGCCTCAGAGCCACAGACAGGAAGCAACTGTATACATGCTTAAAAAATAAAAATCAGCCCAAGGAAGAAAACTGTTGACTTGAAAAGAGGCAAGTACAATAGGAGAAAAAGGCACCACTCCCCTCACCCTTGGGTGTTTTCCATACAGCTCTCTGTGGAAACTGTCTCCATTGTGTGTTGGGGGAGACGTGCGTATGGAAGGTTGGATCAGAAGTCTGAGAAGCCTAGGCTAGTCTCAGTTCCACCACTTCCTGTGTGAGGTTCAAACAAGTGTTTTGAGTCTCTGTTTCCTACCTTGTGAAACGAAGGTAAAGCCATAATCTTCAAAAGAACCTTCAGGGAATCAATGTTTGAATACTTGGTACCTGGCCCTTAGTGGAGTTTCCCTTCTGTCCCTCAAACTTAAGACCAGAGGTCCCAGCCCTGGCTGTATTACAGTCACCTGGATGCATATAAAAGTACCTATGCCTGGGCTTCACCCCAGGCCAATTAATCAGAATCAGAGGGGGAGGGAGCAGCTCAGTTGTATTTAAGAAGTTCATGGGGCACGTGGGTGGCCCAGTGGCTGAGCATCTGCCTTTGGCTCAGGTTGTGATCCCGGGGTCCTGGGACTGAGTCCCATGTCAGGCTCCCTACATGGAGCCTGCTTCTCCCTCTGCGTGTCTCTCATGAATAGATAAAATCTTTAAAAAAAAAAAAAAAGCAGCAGCTCTTCAGGTGATCTAAGATGTGGTCCCAGCTAAGAGCCACAGAGCTAAGGTGCTCCTTTAACCAGCTTGATCTAAGAGTCACTGCCTTTTAGCTAATTATAAAACTTCCCCAAACTAAGGGCATTTCCACAACTCAGGAAAATCTGCTGTTCCACTTCAACCAAACTGCATTAAATCAGCCACATAACCGTGGCATTATTTTGCATCCAAAATTTGTTTATGGGGCACTACTGCTATTTCCAATTGTTCTGCTAAATTACTTTCCCTCCCTCTGTGTATCATGCAAACTACTGGCCTATTTCTCCCAGAGGATCCAGCGAGGATGACGTCACCAATCCCACTTTTTAGGGGAGAAAAATGAAGAATCAGAACTACAAGGTTTCTCTGACTCAGGCTCCTTTCATTACATAGCCCAAATCAAGAAATCATTAATCTCCCATTAACAGGGCGTGTTAAAACAGATTGAGGGGTCCAACCCCCAGATTGATTCAGTGGTCAGTGATAAGGCTTGAAAAATCTGGTCATTTCTAGGACACGTGGGTGGCTCAGTGGTTGAGCGTCTGCCTGGTTGTGTTGATCTGTGGCTCCCCTACAAGGAGCCAGCTTCTCCCTCTGCCTGTGTCTCTCATGAATAACTGGATGGATGGATGGATGGATGGATGGATGGATGGATGGATGGATGGAAGGAAAGGCAGGCAGGCAGGCAGGCAGGAGATTTGACGGTTTCTAACAAGTTGCCAGGTGATTCTGCAGCTGCTACTGCCAGTCTGGAGGTCAGTTTAAGAACTGCTGGTTCGTGCCTCCTTCCCTGCAGGTGGTCCTTATTTTGCATAAGATGTAGCAAAATCAGATACAGGTTGGCTAAGTCGTCTTCGGCAGTGTTCCAAGAGGCGCAGGAGTAAGAGAGCTAGGCTAGACTCCGGTCATTCCCAGCCGGGCCAAAGAGCCATTTCGGGAACAGACCCTTCAAGGATCACACGCATGCAGAAACCTTCCGACGGCCGGGTGACAGCCGGAGATCCGTTCCGAACTCCCTAGGTGTGGCCGCTTCGGGCTCGGACGGAAGTGACTGGATAGGGACCAAGGCGCGGGCTGAAGGCGCCGGCGTCCGAGGCCAAGGTCCCTGGTGCTCAGGCCCCCGCCATCCCTCCCCTCTCTTTCCTCCCTGCTCTCCCCCAAACACGCCCTCGTGTTCAGAAGCACCTGGAAGCTCCTTCTCCAGTTTCCCCGGAACCGAGAGGCTGCAGCCCAACTTCCAAAGACCCCCCCAAACGCTTCGCCCCAAGGAATCCCACGCCGCTCTCTAAACCTAACCGTTCTCTTGCGCAATGCCCTCCCACCCTCACTTTCCACCCCAGAGTCCATCTTCGACAACCCCTCTTTGTTCTCTCCACATTCACCGACCCAGTGGGTCCTCAAGACTCGAGAGACACCCCCAGCTCACCCACACGTATCTACTCCCCCAAGCCCAGATGCTCTATCCCGATCCCCAACAGCCAGGGGCACCCCCCCCCCCGTCACTCACCACAGCCCTTCCCCCACCCCGGACCCCCCCCCCCCGACCCATCGGCCTCTCCCTTTTCGCGACGGCCCCTCCTCGCGACCCACCCCTCCTTGGCTCCTTCCCTCTCCGCTCTGCTGCTGCCGGGCTCTCGGGGCCGCCCAGAGCCCCCCGCTAGTGGGCACCGCCCTCCCTACCATGAAAAGTCGGAGGACGCAGGAGTCTCCAAACTCGGACTGAGAGGCAGGAAACACCCAGCTCGCGCAGGCGGGGGGCAGAGGCGGGGCCGGGGCGGGAACTTCCGCTGCGCCAGCGCGCTTCCGCCCCGCAGAGCGCGCCTTCTTAAAGGGTCCGTCGTAAACCTACACGTCGGCCGCGTTCCCTCCAGCCTCTGCGGCTGGAGTGGGTGGCATCACCTCTGGGCTGGGTCAGGCATTAGCCTGATGAGAGGTCCATTTCCCCTCCCACCTTCCAGAGAAGAGGGCAAGATGCAAGGAGGTCGTCCTTCCCGAGGGCAGAAGCTCTGCGGAACTGTCGTTTCCCGGAACTGGATAATTGGTTCCCCGCGGAGCTTTGGAGTGGACACCCCGGGGCAAGATGGCGGTCGGGCCTCGGCCGCTGCCCCGGGTCTGGCAGAGCTCGAGGGTATTGGGCTGAGGCGGCGGGAGCTGCGGCCCCGACCCCGAGCGCGGGGGGCCTGGAGCGGGTAAAGGTCTACGGCCTGCGGGTAGCGAGTGGAAACAGGGTCTTGGGGTGTCCGGGTGGAGGTGACGGCGGGGCCCCCGAGGGAAGTGGCCCTTTGGCCGGGTCCCTGCCTCCCCAAGTCGAAGGGCAGGTGCTATAGGGGCTGGCTTTCGGGTCGGCGGGGGCGGGGGCGGGGCTGGGGGGCGGGGGGTGTCCTCTTCGTCGTCTTTCCACCCCTATTCATCTGTGGGGAGAATAGGCTCTTATAGACAGACCGGTGCTGCGTGAAGGTTTGTTATGGTGGTTGTCGACGCCGAGGGGAGATGCTGGGCTCAGGAGCCCCCAGACCGGAGATCGGGCCCCGCTGACTCGCGGTGTGACCTTGGGTGAGCTCCCTCACCTCTCGGAGCCTCGGTTTCTTGCTCTGTGAAATGGAGTGATCAGCTCGTTTCGCATAGGAGTTTGTGTAATGCAAGATTTAGTGCCTGCCACTCGGCGCTCTCAGTAGGCGGCTGGTGTTAATGGTTTCAATAAGAAAAACTTGGTCCTACTCGGACTCTGCTCAGCCCTACAGGCAGCCTTGCCTTCTCAGCTTTTCTTCGCTGCCCTGGCAGTGGCGGAGTCCCTTGGGTCTTACTTGTTTCACTTAACTGATTTGGAGTTAGACGCGGCTTCAAATTCGGGAGACGAGTGACCTCTCCTAAGTCGTGCTCCCTCTACATTTCATTTTCTCCGCGTGAAGGTGGGATCCATAACATGCTCCTAGATGGGCTGTAGCCTTCAGTAAGTGCTGCTGTTATTAATGGTCTAAGTCCTTTTGCCTGTTCTTTATTTTATTTTTTAAACGAATTTTTAAAAGATTTTATGTTTTCATGGCGGGGGGGGGGGGCAGAGACACAGGCAGAGGGAGAAGCAGGCCCCACGCAGGGAGCCCGACCGGGACTCGTGGGACTCGACCCTGGGTCTCCAGGATCAGGCCCTGGGCAGAAGGCGGCGCTAAACCGGGCTGCCCCACCCCCTTGCCTGTTCTTTAAAAATTGGGCCACTGAGGCCTTCAAGAGGAAAGACAGAATGTTAAATTCTGTTGGAAAGACAGAATTGGTTAAATATCTGTGCGGTGTCTGAAACATGATCTGCCCTTAACAGATTGGTGGTGGTACTAAACCTGGCTGCCCAGCTAGTCCATAGGGGGAAAATCCTCTTGGGCTCAGACAGCAGTTGATACTTACGATGCTTCACTGTGGGTGATGCCCTCTAGACTCTTTCATAATTCTGCATGAAGCTGACCTCATCCAGGGAAGACTGATTTTGAGCAGCTACCATGGGACTGTAGACTTAGAAAAGCATCTGAGGCCTGTCTCTTAGTATTAAAATCTTGGCTCTGCTCCTTACTAAATGGTCTAACGTGGACTATGGGATGTAATTAAATGATGTTACAGGGTTGCTGGTCTTACTATGTAGAAGGATGTGACACGTAGTGGATACATAATTTATTTTCCTTTATAAATAATCCTGGTTATCACTGCCCTCTTGTGTTTCTAATTTTTCCACATATATCATTGTTTCCTTAATTGGGTTAATTCCTTAATTTGGGTTTGGTTTTGTTTTTAAAGTCTAGGTACTATATAGCAGAGCTCAGTTACATGCTATCTGCTTTGAGATACTCCTTGTTAATGTTTTCCCACTTAATCGTAATCAAAGTGTCATGATGACTAAGTCAGAATAGAAGTGTAAATGTTTCGATTCTTTTGGCACCCCTAGGAGGTAGGTACTATTATCCTTAATTTATAGATAAAGAAGCTGAAGCCTAGAGAGGATAAGCAATTTGACCAAATGAGGTAGAACCAGAACTAAGAAGAACCAAGGGTACTTTGTCTGATGCAAGGCTTTTTCTACTACATACAGCCTTTTGTTTATGTCAAAGTTTGTGTAATCCTTCATTACAGTTACTTTGGAGACATACTTTAAGACTTCAAAATATGTTTTGTTTGGTAAACTAGTGGATTCTAGGCAGATAGGTGAATAAGAAGGAATTAGAAAAACTGCATAGTATAGGCTATTACACGGTGTAAACAGAAACCAACATACAGCCTCCTGAGGGGATGGTAATCTCAAGGAAGAGATCTTCTCCTGCAAGGCCCCCTGGGAGAAGTGAAAGTTTTGAGATAGTCTTACAGCTACTTTGTCGCGGTTTGCCTATGCAACCTCCTGTTTTTCCATTGAGAAGAGCTCCCTCTCCTCACCCCTCACACACTGCTCCTCCTCTTCCACCACAATGAGGGACTGTCTACATGTTAAGGAACTATCATACCATAGTGCTCACAGCTTGGGCCCTCTCTTTTGCAGCTCTCAGGAGCTTAAAGCTGTTACCCAATCTAAACAGGGTCATAGCCCAAGTGACAGGACTGGTGAATCTTAGCGCACCCAAGGATAGGACAAAATTTAATGGGTGAGGAATGTAACGGTTGCAGCATTATTTCCTACCCAAAGAACCTGAGTGTGCAGATGAGAGCCTCTACTGAAGAGTTTTTAAGAAAGTCTAAAAAATAATTCATTGATTACACTTATTAACTGCAGTCTATCAGCCACCTTGATAGGTATTTGACGTACACCATCTCACTTGGTCCTCCTCAGCCTCTGCCAACGAAGACGTGAACACAGAAAGCCTCTGAGGCATCTCTCTGCAGTACTTGGCAGAGCTGGGGACCTGCTCCAGCTCTGTGTGACTCCACAGCATGTGTGCCTCTTAGTACCATGCTGCCTCACCATGCATGTGCTTTCTGCAGAAAATTTATAAAACAGACCAGTTGAGGGATGCAGAACTTCCCATAATCCCTCCACCTCAAAACAGCTACCCTCAACACCCTTGTTTTTTTCTCCCTGGCTTTGTGTCTCTGTGCACATGCATTTTTCTTCTTAATTGGGATCATATTGGTTCACTGCCAACTCTTTCTTCATTTCTCCAGAATAAACATTTTTCATACATTAAAAAACATCAAACATAATTTTCAGTGGTTTTTTAACATTCCATCCCCTTTGTTGCTTACTATCCTAAAGTGTGTACAGCTTTATTATTATTATTATTTATTATTATTGCATGTACAGCTTTAATTCATCTTCTCTGGGATGGTTTTCAGTCTGTTCCCTTTAAACTGAAGGCCTGGGGAGGTCTGGTGTAACATTTAGATCAGATGTTAACTAAAAAGGACACTAGTGTTTTATTTTTTTTATTAAAATTTTTTTAATATATATTCGACAGAGCACAAGCAGGAGGAGCAGCAGGCAGGCAGAGGGAGGAGAAGGAGCAGGCTCTCCACTGAGTAGAGAGCTAGACATGGGGCTTTATCCTAGGACCCTGGGATCATGACCCTGAGCCAAAGGCAGACACCAGCTGAGACACCCAGGTGCCCCACTAGTGTTGTTTTAAACCAGAGGCACTTTTTGTTACTTTTATTCACTGAGGAAGGTAGAGGATGTCCTACCTATAAAACTTAACCCTGAATCTGATTTTTTTTTTTCCCTTCTGCTTCTGCCAAAGAAGACCAGCGCCTCTGAAGTGAGTAGCTGCCCTGAGCTGTGAGCCCTCTAGAACATCACTAATGATTACCTGGCATTTCTGTGTCACAGGCAGGTCCTCAGGTGAGCTCTATTCTGTTGGGCAGAGCAAGTGATTCAGGAGACTGCTATCTTTTCCCACCCTGTCTTCTTACCCTCCCTCCTGTGATCATGTGGGACTTTGTTCATTTGTTTTGACAATTAACAACAAGAGACCCATGTGTTGGGAAAGCCTTGTTGTTTAACAGATGTGAATCAGTGTTGAAAAGGGAGGGAACACAGACCTCAGTATGTTGACATAGGAGGAGCTCTGAATGAACTTTTTATTCTTTTATTTTTAAAGATTTTATTTATTCATGAGAGACACAGAGAGAGAGAGGCAGAGACATAGGCAGAGGGAGAAGCCTGCTCCCCAGAGAGAGCCAAATGCAGTACTTGAACCCAGGACCCCAGGATCATGCCCTGAGCCAAAGACAGACACTCAACCACTGAGCCACCCAGGTGCCTTTTTATTTTTTGATGGTGTTTTCACATGGGCACTGCTTTGAGGGAGGTAACACAGTAAAGAGATTGTTTTCCAGAAAACTGGATTTCTGAGTAATCAATTTCAGTAATTTTGTGAGCTGGGCTGATTATATATTTGGGACAGAATGACAGTTTTCAAGCATCCAAAGAAATCATCTCAGGGTGGGAGGCTCCATGGACCAGTGTTGTGTGCTCTAGGCTGATAGCCAAAGCCACCTCTTTGGGAAAAGACAGTTACTAGTGATTTAGGTAAAAATGTATGTAATGGATAATTTAGAACCTCTGTCCAAAATATGCCAGTCAGTGAGTGGTTGGCAGAATTCTGCTCCAAACTCCTCATTGGCCTTTGGCAGGATGGGATCAGTAAGGATGGCAGAGTAAGTTATACATAAAACCAGTCAATTTAACAGATTGTCTTGCATTCTGGAATCACACACGTTTGGATTTTTTAGTGTTA